CATCGATCAGTATGAAGTGATACTGCGGCCTCTGTAAAGGAGGAGCGAGGGGGGCTGGGTTACCAGTTACAGGTGGTAATTTCGATTGAGCCTTACGCGCAATCAACAACTTCTTCCACGCAATATACAAAAGGAATCTCAAATTTACAATTATTGCATAGCTAACTATGACACAATTCGTCCTATTTTGCAAGCAGTTGCCTTCGGAGATTGTTACAGTCTATTGTCAGTTAAAGTCATCCCGGAGCACCCATTCAATACATTCAATGTTCGAAATTGGATCATAAAATGCAATGACATTGAAGAACGAAAACTTGCGCGCTTCACTGCAAGGCTCCGGTTTCCAGAGATGGTGCTCATCATGCATTGGACTTCTCCGGGGGGGCTTTGCAGGACCCCCTTCACCCCAGAAAGTGGCGAGTTTCGGGAATGCGCATCTTTTCTTCCAATTAACGGTGTGCTAATGTGCCAACTCTTGCTTCCCAGCAAGACAGTGAAAACAAGTTGGATTAGGAGAAACCCCGTTGGTCACTGACGAAAAAAAAAGCCGCTTACTTAGCATGTGAGTAGATTCGGGGGCCATTCAACACCATTTGTGGGTTTTGTGGGGCTGACAAGCTGCGAAGTGTCCTCGATCGGCAGGACATTCACACCTTGGACAAGAACAAACTTGTCGTTGTTTGCGAAAAACCCAAATATTCCCTTGCAAAAGTCATGAATCAACAAAGCCGTCATATCCTCTGCTAGTTCTCGCGCTGAGCGGTCTGTATCAGTTTTTATTATGCCTATTATTAAAGGATGGACTAATGGGCACGTCATATATGAGGCTGTTAAGAAACAATGGAAGAAAGTAAACATCCACTACTTTCTTTTTTGGAAGCTGGCTATCGATTCAAATATTTATGATCACACGACATAATGACCAAACTAAATTCAGAAACATTTCTAGTACTGGCCCACATTAGAAATGGCACTTGGCCTCGATTTATATCCCGAAAGTGGCAAAAGTGGTCTTTGCTCTTGCCTTTTTTTAAATATAACATTCATGATACTGACCCTACAATGCAAGTAGCTAATATTGACACTCCATCCCAGTAGTATTTTGTTTCATACTTGTAATTCTAAAGTCTATACCAATCAAACAGCTGACAATCTCATTTTTGACAAGTGGTTGTTCAAAATGTCCAACTTTAAATCCTGTGAAATGAAAATACTGTTCATGATATTTACGAATTATGTTTAGTGTCTTTTTTCTTTTTCCCAGCCCCACAATTTCCCCCAAAAAATAAAAATAAAAAATCACATTTTGGGGCACATGGTGCTAACCTTTTTCAAACACTTTCCTGTGTTGACCCCACTTTAGTACCCAATTGGCAACACCGACATTTAGCATGTGGTTACTGATGTCAAACATTCTTCTACTGGCCCAATCTTGTCTCTCACAGTAAACATTTACCTGTTTTTTTGGTGTGAGCAGTTATTTTATTCAAACATGTAATTTTAGATGCCAAATTTTGGCTCGTCATTCATGTTGTATTTCTGAAATTACTTGATCCCACTTTACAGCCCTCAAAAGCTTGAGGCAAAATATTTAGTTGTTTGTACGCATGCTGCACGAGATGTTAAATTTCAATTCAATTTCTTAAAAATAAAAAATAGGTCTTACCACGTGATTCTGCTGGTTTCGTCACCTTCGCAGTCCCTCTCAATTTTTTTGATCACTTCCCTAGCCTTTATCTGCTGCAGCTTGCTGGTCATTGACTTCTGAATCATAGCCCAGACAAAAAAAAAGTGTGTCTCCCTCTAGTGGTTTAGACTCAGTATCCGTTTATTATGCAGCGTTAGAATTCTAACGCCGTCCTTTACAATTTGCCCCAAATGCATTTTGATACTCATCTAATGGATTTGATGCACATCCTTTTGTGTAAGATTGAAATCAAACATGTGCAGGCGACACGCACAACCGTTCACTCGGCGCAATTTGCATGCATAAAGTAAGTGCTCAGTGATTTAAATACAAACTGTCGATCGACCTCTTCCTGTGTGCTGGAGTGTCGTCTAATAGGTTTGGCCTGGATTAGTGAGCTATGGTGGAGAAGAATAGCAAACCATATGAATGGGAAAGCGGCTATTCTAGAGCAACACTGTTCACTGATTGTGTCTGGACAAATCCCCTTAAAGCTGCCCAGGGATGCATCCTGCCCATCCCAAGATGAGAAATGAAGTGAAGGCCTTCAGTGGCAGGGACATTTCTTATTACTTCTGCGTTGGCGGAGGTGTGGGGACATTGTATTGGTCCATCCCATTTTGACTTTGAAAGATATTTTTTCATGTAAAGTTTTCTTACTTCCTCTATTGCAGCGACTCTAACTTTTACACCAAGTACTGTACCACCAAATAAATGCTCTCCGTTCACCTCGAAGTACAACCATCATGAACAATATTGAAATACAGAAGCATAGTAGGCCTAAGCCTTCATCCAAAAATCAGGATGATGTTTTATTTCTAAAAACGTCTATTTCATATCATTGTATGTCAGTGTAACAAAATGAGTTGTTTGAACAAACACCGTGCTTGAATAGAGTAAAAAATATACGTCATGATTCAATTAAAAAGTATTGCATACAATATGAAAAGTGCACTTGAATATTTGTTTCAAACAAACCGTTAAATGCAAAGTATAGTCTCAACCGCACTTAGGCAGTGATGCTATTGCTTACCACTAGAGGGAGTCCGTGTACCACAAGCGACTCGTGGTACTTCTACCACACTGAGAATCCCTGCTCGATTAGAATGTATTACTTGTTGATGCATCATATCCTGCCTCTATTGTGCTTGCAACATGAAAAACGTTTTTTTCAAAAGGGAATGAAAGATCATAATCTGAGTTAAAAGATTAAAAAAAAGGATCGTTACATGAGGGGGAAGGTCCGGAAATGGAGGCTCAAGTAGAAGCTTGTCAATGCGACAATTCAGTACCCTGAATCGTATAACACATGTTCTGCTGGAGTCAGTTGTTCGCTTCAAATCCTTTGTTGTTGGATGAGAGTAGTAGATCTTCTATTCATGCATTGGAAAATGTATGAGCAAAAATTAAGTGTATAAAGATCACGTATTTTGCATGTAAGTATGTATTTTGTCCATATTTAACAGAGCATTTTTGTCATACGTCTGGATTTTTTTTTTTTACTGATTGTTCCTTTGACATGGTTGAGTCAGTGTCATATTTTCACCGTCCTGACCCAATCTTACCAATATATACTGCTGTTAATTTATGTTAAGTTTTAAAGTTTTTTGTTTCTGCATAAGGACCCCAAGACGCACACGTTTATTTACATGCACATTATTATTATTCTAATAATAATGATTATTTTTATTATTAATATGATGATGCTGATGCTGTATATGTGGCTTTGGCGCCCTCCAGCGGAGACGGAGAGCAGGAGGAGAGCTTGCCAGAGTGGTTGTTATGGTGAAGCATTTCCCTGGAGGGGCCGGCCGTGGCAGGAGCAGCAGGCAACAGCTGACTGGCTCAATTGCACCGGAGCCCTCCTCCACGCACACGGCCAACGGCGCAGGTAAGAAACCTCGTTTTGAATTCTGCATTTTACCTTTACAAAATATACTGCACGCAGTGGTTAGGCCGTTCATGAAATGACGTCCCCGTTAGCTGTGCGCGCGACACCGCTGCTGAAAAGCAAAGCGAAGCTGCCTCTCGTGGATGCGAACACGGAAGAAGAATTAGGGAAAGTAGATTCTAGCGAAACTCAGCGGGCGTTCGAAAACCGGCCCGAGGGAAACCACAGAACACACACTCGCTGGTTTTACGCGCTCGCGGTTTCGTTGGATTCTCGAAGTCGAGCAAGTTGAACGAACCGCCAACTTTACCTGCCTGATGAGCACCTGTTGAGGCGAGCTGAGCTATTCGGCTCCTTCCATCCGTCATATGTCGCTATTGAACGACCCGTCAACTTTACCTGCCTGATGAGCACCTGTTGAGGCGAGCTGAGCTATTCGGCTCCTTCCATCCGTCATATGTCGCTACTGTCAATTCTTGTATCCATTTATTTCTTCATGCACTAATGTTACGAATGGTCAGCGATCATCATGGCAATTGTTTCATGTTATTATGTCAACTCATTTTACTTCTGCCATGATATTGAACATCACCATGAAAAGTAAAAGTAATGAATTGTACTATAAATAGAGTAGGCTATGCACCTATAATAAAAACATCCCTGAAATCGGATCGATATTGATGCGTTTTTAAGAGATGAACAAGACACTAAGTGTGCATTCATCTTATTTTATTTCATTTTCGAGGAAAAGTCATTTTCAGGAAGCCGGTATCGGGCTGGATCACAGAGGTGAATATTTTGCCTCGGGGTTCAAATAAGCTTCATGTAGTTTTGTTGGAATTGGGCGTGTCACTCTGAAAAGGGCTCAACAGAGGCCCGACCTCACACACATTTTAGTTCGGTTAAATATCATCAATGTTTGCATTCTTGTCCATCCAGTTTTGCAAGCTCTGAATCATATGTACACTACCCATTCTTGTTCAGGTATGTACAGTACACTACATACAGTCGAACATTTGCCTATTTTACCAGTATACAAATGAAATGAAGATTAGCAGGCAGACTTTAGCTGACACGTGCACACCCAGCGGCAGCGTTTATGGTGTCAGAACTTGGAGGAAATCGAGTAAAGGTCAGGTGACATTTCAACAACGTATTGAAGTTAGTGGACCTTGGTCCGCTTTGATCGTATGACTAAAGCGTACCTGGTGCATTTTCATTTCACATGAACAATATTTTATCTTTTTGTGACTACCAGTATACAAATGAAATGAAGATTAGCAGGCAGACTTTAGCTGACACGTGCACACCCAGCGGCAGCGTTTATGGTGTCAGAACTTGGAGGAAATCGAGTAAAGGTCAGGTGACATTTCAACAACGTATTGAAGTTAGTGGACCTTGGTCCGCTTTGATCGTATGACTAAAGCGTACCTGGTGCATTTTCATTTCACATGAACAATATTTTATCTTTTTGTGACTACCGGTAGTTTTTATTGAAGGTTTAAGAAAGCAGTGTTGCAACAAGGCATGAGACATTATATTGGTCGTGTTTTTTTTTTTTTAACTGAGCAGAGTATCAGGTGGAGCGATGGAGGAGGATTTTATGTGTGTAATTTATCTACAATATTAAAACACACAATTCACATATTCACATTATACTGAATACAATTATACAATGTTTTAATAAATTTGTAAATCAGAGATGCAAGTCAACCTTTCCAGAAATATTTTGAAATCATTTTTTTTCCTTGAGTAAATCAAGTTTCATAACAATAATAAACAGAATAAAATAACAAATATAGGGTGATCAGTAACACGTGGACATTTTTTTCTGAAACATCACAACTATTAATTGCAGTGCATGGTAAAGTCTATATTGTGCAGGCTTTTATAGGTCAAACTTAGAAACCAAAAATGAAAATGGGGGGGAGGAGGGGAGAAGATGTGTGAGGAGAAAAGTGAAAACATTTTTAAAACCAGCATCAAAAATATGTTTAAGGACACCTCCATGTCCCGTGCAACTTTCTGTAACATATCTTTTGAAACGGTTCCGATGACATTAGCCAAACCTTTAGCCCACGCTGCTGACTCGCACAAACATGGCGCGTGATGATTTGGCAAGCAGATTAGCTCACTTGGCGTCCGCCGGAGGGTCATTCAAGAATCATCGGCACTGAACTCAGCTTTGTTTCATCGAACAGCTCAGCTGCGGCGGGCCGCACAATGCCCGTGCCGCGCCATTTCATCATGAAAACGACCACCCGCATACTCCCGAATGTTGCCACATTTTAGGCCAGAGCCAACCTGGGATTTAAGCGGGGCTTTGTTCCTGTGACTTTTGCTCCCGCCCGCTTGATGAATGCTTCACCGGTGTGTTCGTGTGTTTCATAGGGCTCTATTCATTGCCCTGGTTGAATGAAAGTGTATGTGTCAGAGCAGCTCTGGACTGCCCTTCCTGTTAAGTCGTGAGGTGGAAAAAATCCACAAATGTCAGATTGACCCAGGAATATTTCAGCAGGCGCTGGATATTTCTTCATATTTCTCCGTGTGTGTGGATGTGTGTGTGTGTGTGTTTGTGTTCCATTCGACACTAGCGGTTTGTACAATATCAGTGATTTAGTACTTCACATTTTATCATATCAGTCCACAAAGTCAAACGGCCAGAACTCAGTGTTGCCCATCAGTCAAAACCTTTTTTACTGAAGCATATGAGATCGGAATTTGTCCAAGCAAAACCTGTCTACGAAGTTAAAAGACCCTTTCATGGATTTTTCAGGAAACAGGAACAAAAATCTTGGATTGGGTGCTGAGATTGGAGGGTTTGTCTGTTATTTTCTGTACATAAAAGCAAATATTAAACTACAATTTGTTTGATTGTACTGGTTAACTATAAATATCTTATCTGAAAGTTATCATACTCACTTGGAATCTGCCGACTATTTATTTATTTATTTTTTGCGTGACCGTTGTCCAGAATGCAAAATGTGTACAATTCAACACCTTTGAATAGGTCTAATTACAATGGACACCTATTGAAGGCAGGCAGTGGCCCATCAAACACCAACACTGATAAGTCGTCTAATATACCCGCATATCGACACGTATGATCAGCCGCAGCGGGCTTCGAACGGTATCAAATAGAAGACTTCTACCTCAGGCTGCTTTTGGAAGCGTAATTAGTCTCTTATCAGGGAG